AGGAGGTGACAGGAGGGGACAGGAGGGGACAGGGAGGTGACAGGAGGTGACAGGAGGTGACAGGAGGTGACAGGAGGTGACAGGAGGTGACAGAGGTGACACAGAGGTGACACAGAGGTGACACAGAGGTGACAGATGTGACCCCAGCGCGGAGCCCTCCCGAGATGGCCCCAGTGCCACCCCCGGAGGTGCCACCTCTGGTGTCCCCTCCCCAGCTGTCCCCGTCGCTGCTGGAGCCGCTGGTGGCCGTGGTGGCCACCCTGGGCCAGCTGGCGGCCACCGCGGCCGGCCCGGCCGGGGACGTCCTGCTGGCCACCGGCCACGGCTCCCTGCACGCCGGCCTGGCCACCTTCATCGGCCACCTCCGCCACGCCCTGGGCCACCGCGGTGTCCCCTCGCCACCCGCCCTCGGGGCCACCTCGGGGGACACTGCGGCCACCTCGGGGGACATTGCGGCCACCTCAGGGGACACCGCGGGCGACACTGTGGCCACCACGGCCACTGCGGCCACCTTGGGAACCACCGTGGCCACCTCAGGGGCCACCACGGCCGCCGTGGCCACCGCCTGGCTCCGCTCGGTGGCCGCCCTCGACCACGCCTGGGCCCAGCTGGCCACCGAGGCCACCGAGCTCCTCCGGGCCTGCCGGGCCGCGGCCACCGCCGAGGCCGCCGTGGCCACCGAAGCTTCCGGCCCGGACCTGCGGGAGCTGGTGGCCCGCTGGGACGCGGCGGGCGGCCACCTGCTGACGGCGGCCCGGCGGCCGCCGCTGGCCCTGGGCGAGGACGAGGCGGCCCCGGCGGTGGCCGCGCACGAGGAGAAGGTGGCCCGGGCGGCGGCCGAGATGGCGGCGGCCACGGTGGCCGTGGAGGAGGCGGCGGTGGCCGCCGGGAGGGCGGAGGCGGCCACCAAGCGGGCGCGGCGAGCGGAGGCGGCGCTGGGGCCACTGGCCGCCTTGGTGGCCGCGTGCCGCCGGGCCCGGGAGCTGCCCCGGGAGCTGCGGCGGCGCCTCGGGGACACGCCGGGGACCAACGGGGACCCGGCCCAGGCGGCCGCGGTGGTGGCCACGGTGGAGCGGCTGTGGGAGGCCAGCGGCCGCCTGGCCACCAGGCACCTGCTGGGGACACTTGGGGACATCCGGAGGGTCCTGGCAGGGGGACGCGGTGGTGGCCGCGGCGGCCTCGGTAGCCCTGGTGACCTTGGTGGCCTCCGTGGCCTTGGTGGCCTCGGTGGCCCTGGTGGCTACGGTGGCCTTGGTGGCCTTGGTGGCTCCAGTGACCTTGGAGGCTCCAGTGGCCTTGGTGGCCTCCATGGCCTCGGTGGCCTTGGTGGCCCTGGTGACCTTGGTGGCCTTGGTGACCTTGGTGGCCCTGGTGGCCTCCATGGTCTCCATGGCCTTGGTGGCCCCGGTGGCCCCAGTGGCCGCACGGTGGCCGAGCGGTGCCAAAAAGCCATCGAGGACATCCCGAGGCTGCTGCGGGGACAATGACGTCACCGCCGTGACGTCACCGGGGAGGGAGGGGCCACTCGTCCCCTCCCCCGCGCGGGATCCGAGAGGAATTTGGGGAAATTTTGGGGAAATTTTGGGGATTTTGCAGAACTTTGGGGAATTTTTGGGAATTTTGGAATTAAAAATGTCCCAAATCCTGGTGGGAATGGCCGGTGACGTCATTGGGGACACGGAAATGCCCCTCAGGAAACCCCCCGTTACCCTGCCAGGACCTGCCGTTACCATGGGAACCAAGCCGGAAGTGCCCCGGCACTTCCGGGTGCGGTTTCCATGGAGATGAGGGGTCCTGGAAGGGGAAATGAGGGACTGAGGGGGGAAATGGGGTCCTGGAAGGGGAAATGAGGGACTGAAGGGGGAAATGAGGTCCTGGAAGGGGAAATGGGTCCTGGAAGGGGAAAAAAGGGTTCTGAGGGGGGAAATGGGGTCCTGGAAGGGGAAATGAGGTCCTGGAAGGGGAAATGGGGTCCTGGAAGGGGAAATGAGGTCCTGGAAGGGGAAATGGGGTCTTGAGAAAGAGGAAATGAGTCCTGGAAGGGGAAATGGGGTCCTGGAAAGGAGAAAATGGGGCTCTGAGGCAGGAATTGGGTCCTGGCAGGGTGAATGAGGGTCCCGAGGGGGTAAATGGGATCCCACAGATGGAATTTAGGGTCCTGAAAGGGAAAATCGGGATCGCGAGGGGTAAACGGAGAGGTCCTGAATTCATCTGCAGGACCCCATTTATCCCCTCGGAACGCTCATTCACCCTGCCAGGACCCACATTTACCCTCGGAACCCCCTTTTACCCTTCCAGGACCCCATTTATTTTCTCAGGACCGTCCTTTAACCTTCCAGGACCCCATTTCCCCCCTCAGGACCCCCCTTTTACCCTTCCAGGACCCCATTTCCCCCCTCAGGACCCCCCTTTTACCCTTCCAGGACCCCATTTCCCTTCCAGAACCCAATTTCCCCCCTCTGAACCCTTTTTTCCCTTCCAGGACCCTCCCTTTGCCCTTCCAGGACCTCATTCCCCCTCCTACCCACCCAGGCCACGCCCCCAGGCCACGCCCCCGAGCTCTGATTGGTCGGAGCGAGGAAAGGGGCGGGGCCAGAGTGACGCAAACACCGAGAATCGAAACCGAAACCGGGAGGGGGAGGGGCCCCCAAAATCCCGGGAATTCCGTGGGAATCTCCCCAAAATCCCGGGAATTCCGTGGGAATCTCCCCAAAATCCCGGGAATTCCGTGGGAATCTCCCCAAAATCCCGGGAATTCCGTGGGAATCTCCCCAAAATCCCGGGAATTCCGTGGGAATCTCCC